ACAGGACTAAAACAGGACTAAACCAGGTCTAAACCAGGACCAACACAGGACCAAAACAGGACTAAAACAGGACTAAAACAGGACCAAAACGGGACTAAACCAGGTCTAAACCAGGATTCAAACAGGACCAAAACAGGACTAAAACAGGTTTAAAACAGGACTAAAACAGGACCAAAATACGGATTACAACAGGACAAAACCAGGACTGAACCAAATACAAAGCAGTAATATTCACCGTGTTGTTTCTTTAAGTCTTTTCTTCAAATTTTTTCTGCATTTCTCTTTATTGTCGTTATTGTAAACTGAACACACACTGAACACACACTGAACACACACTATACACACACTAAACACACACTGAACACACACTAAACACACACACACTGAACACACACTATACACACACTGAACACACACTGAACACACACTGAACACACACTATACACACACTATACACACACTGAACACACACTGAACACACACTGAACACACACACTAACACACACTGAACACACACTGAACACACACTGAACACACACTCACACTGAACACACACTGAACACACACTGAACACACACTAAACACACACTGAACACACACTGAACACACACTATACACACACTGAACACACACTGAACACACACTGAACACACACTGAACACACACTAAACACACACTGAACACACACTATACACACACTACACACACACTGAACACACACTGAACGCACACTAAACACACACTGAACACACACTGAACACACACTAAACACACACTAAACACACACTGAACACACACTGAACGCACACTAAACACACACTAACACACACTGAACACACACTAAACACACACAACACACACTGAACAACACTGAACACACACACACTACTACACACACACTATACACACACTAAACACACACTGAACACACACTGAACACACACTAAACACACACTGAACACACACTGAACACACACTGAACACACACTAAACACACACTAAACACACACTGAACACACACTAACACACACTGAACACACACTGAACACACACTGAACACACTACAAACACACACTGAACACACACTGAACACACACTGAACACACACTGAACACACACACTGAACACACACTAAACACACACTGAAACACACACTGAACACACACTAAACACACACTGACACACACACACTGAACACACACTGAACACACACTGAACACACACTGACACACACACTAAACACACACTGAACACACACTGAACACACACTGAACACACACTGAACACACACTGAACACACACTGAACACACACTGAAACACACACTAAACACACACTGAAACACACACTGAACACACACTGAACACACACTGAACACACACTGAACGCACACTAAACACACACTAAACACACACTGAACACACACTGAACACACACTAAACACACACTGAACACACACTGAACACACACTATACACACACTGAACACACACAAACACACACTGAACACACACTGACACACACACTGAACACACACTGAACACACACTATACACACACTGAACACACACTGAACACACACTGAACACACACTATACACACACTATACTGAACACACACTGAACACACACTGAACACACACTGAACACACACTGAACACACACTGAACACACACTGAACACACACTGAACACACACTGAACACACACTAACAACACACACTATACACACACTGAACACACACTGAACACACACTATACACACACTATACACACACTATACACACACTATACACACACACACACTGAACACACACTGAACACACACTGAACACACACTGAACACACACTGACACACACACACACTATGAACACACACTGAACACACACTGAACACACACTATACACACACTGAACACACACTGAACACACACTGACACACACACACACACACACACACACTGACACACACACACACACTACTACACACACTGACACACACACACTGAACACACACTGAACACACACTGAACACACACTATACACACACTATACACACACTGAACACACACTGAACACACTATACACACACTGAACACACACTATACACACACTGAACACACGCTATACACACACTGAACACACACTGAACACACACTATACACACACTGAAACACACACTGAACACACACTAACACACACTGAACACACACTGAACACACACTAAACACACACTGAACACACACTGAACACACACTAACACACACTAAACACACACTGAACACACACTGATACACACACTAAACACACACTAAACACACACTGAACACACACTAAACACACACTGAACACACACTGAACACACACTGAACACACACTAAACACACACTGAACACACACTGAACACACACTGAACACACACTGAACACACACTAAACACACACTAAACACACACTGAACACACACTGAACACACACTGAACACACACTAAACACACACTAAACACACACTGAACACACACTGAACACACACTGAACACACACTGAACACACACTATACACACACTATACACACACTATACACACACTATACACACACTGAACACACACTGAACCGACACGCTCAGACAAGTCCAAAAAACCACACAGTCAACAGCACTAAGTAAACAAGATTAAGGAAAATTTAAGAACACTTCATCCTGACAGGGGCTGACAGGGTCCGACAGGAGCCGACAGGGGCCGACTGGGGCCGACAGGGGCCGACTGGGGCATGTGCCTTGTGTGTGTCCTTAAGGGGACGACTAATTTTAGAGTCTCTGGTTTTCAGTATCCACTCAAAGCAAGTGGCCCGGTCTAAACTCGGACTAAAACCAGGACTCAAACCAGAACTCAACCAGGACTAAACCAGAACTCAACCAGGATTCAAACAGGACTAAAACAGGACTCTAACTGGCCTCAAACCAGGACTCAATCAGGACTAAAAATGGACCAAAACAAGACTAAAACAGGACTCAAACTGGCCTCAACCGGAACCAAAACAGGACTAAAACAGGACCAAAACAGGACTCAACCAGGACTAAAACAGGACTAAACCAGGACGAAAACAGGACTAAAACAAGACTAAAAAAAGGACCAAAACAAGACTAAAAAAAGGACCAAAACTGGACTCAAACCAAACTCAAACCAGGACTCAAAAAAGGAGAAAAACTGGACTAAAACTGGACTAAAAAAGGACCAAAACAGGACTAAACCAGAACTAAAACAGAACTCAACCAGGACTCAAACCAGGACCAAAACAGGACTAAAAGAGGACTCAAACAGGACTAAAACAGTTATAATCTATAAACCAGGTCTAAACTAGTGAGCGTTGTTTGGAATATTGATTTTAGAGCTGATTTTAAATGAAAATGGACAAAACTTAAGTTGGAAAACTTCCAAATCCGGTCAAATATTTTGGCATTTTTGTGAGTAACTTTACATCTTTTTTTTTTTCTGCTAAAGTCGGAGCCAAAACTAAACCAGGTCTAAACTGAGACTAAACCAGGTCTAAACCAAAAGTCCGTCCTCGGGTGTGAACCGTCCCGGGGAGATTGTGCAACGGCAAAGGGAATCCTCGTCTCAACTTCCCGTTTTTCTCGCACTTTTCTTCGCTTTTCGGGCATAAACCGTCATCGATATTTAGAATTAGAAAAACGGGAAACGACGAGAGTCAGAGTCAGGTTTTCTTTTAAATAAACGTCCGTGGTGATGTTTTCTGAAGCTCAACCACCTGCGCCAACTTTATTTATTATTATTATTATTATTATTTATTTAACTTTATTCAGTCGTTTCTTCAGAAGACAGTTTCAGTAAACAGACAAAGGTTTAATCAGGACTAAAACTGGACCAAAACAGGTCTAAAACAAAACTAAAACAGGACTAAACCAGGACCAAAACTGGACTCAAATTTGACCAAAACAGGACTGAACCAGGACTATAACAGGACTAAACCAGGACGAAAACAGGACTAAAACAAAACTAAAACAGGACTAAAACAGGACTGAACCAGGACCAAAAAAGGAATAAAACTAAACTAAAACAGGAGTAAACCAGGACTAAACCAGGTCTAAACCAGGTCTAAAACAGGACTAAAACAGGACTAAACCAGGTCTAAAACAGGACTAAACCAGGTCTAAAGCAGGACTAAACCAGGTCTAAAACAGGACTAAACCAGGTCTAAAACAGGACTAAACCAGGTCTAAAGCAGGACCAAAAAAGGAGTAAACCAGGACTAAACCAGGGCTCAAACTGGACTAAACCAGGACCAAAACGGGCCCAGAACAGGACTAAAACAAGACTAAAACAGGACTCAAACAGGACTAAACCAGGACCAAAACTGGACTCAAACTGGACTCAAATTTGACCAAAACAGGACTGAACCAGGACTATAACAGGACTAAACCAGGACGAAAACAGGACTAAAACAAAACTAAAACTAAACTAAAACAGGACCAAAACAGGACTGATCCAGGACTAAAACAAGACCCAAACAGGACTCAACCAGGACTAACCCAGGATTAAAACAGGACTAAAACAAGACCAAAAGTCTCAAACTGGACTAAACCAGGACTCAAACTGGACTAAACCGGGACCAAAACAGGACTCAACCAGGACTAAAACAAGACCCAAACAGGACAAAAACCGGACTAAACCAGGTCTAAACCAGGTCTAAACCAGGTCTAAACCAGGTCTAAACCAGGACTAGAACAGTTGTAACGTCTAAACCGGAAGACTGAGCCCTTTAACGGGTGTCCACTGAGCTCCAGAGGCGGCTAACAGGCTAGCCCCGGAGCTAACGCCCACAGCCGGGTTCAGGGGCGCCAGACTCGGCTCGGCGGCGATGACATGTCGGTGAAAAGACGGGCGGCGGTCGGGCGGAGCGCTTTGCCCGGCCGGGGGTTCTGTCGGCGGGCGATCGCGGGCGCTGAAGCCGGCGGAGGCGTGCGGGAGCGGGGCTAGCGCCTCACCTGAATGTGCGACACCACCAGGCTCTTGTTCCCCTCTCCGTGGTACCGCCAGTCGCTCTCGTCCAGCTTGTCCGGCTCCATCGCTCCGAGGCCGGGGCGCGGGGCGAGCCCAGGTCCCCGCTGACGGTGCCGGAGGAGAGGCCGGTGTCCGCGCGGAGCTCTGCCGCGGAGGGCCGGGGTCGGGCGGGGAGGACAACACAGAGACCGCGGCCGCTGCTTCTGCTTCTGCCGCCGCTTCTGCAGCTACTGCCGCTGCTGCTGCTGGAGCTCCGGAGCCGGACACAGCCGCTGCTTCTGCCCCCGTGTGGGAGCTCCGTGTGCGGGGACAGAGGAGGAGACAGCGCCCACAGCCGGAGGAGACCGAGCACTGCACCGGGACTAAACCAGGACTAAAACAGGACTGAACCAGACCAGTTTTAGACCTGCTTTAGACCTGGTTTAGTCCTGGTTCAGTCCTGGTTTAGTCCTGGTTCAGTCCTGGTTTAGTCCTGGTTCAGTCCTGGTTTAGTCCTGGTTTAGTCCTGGTTTAGTCCTGGTTTAGTCCTGGTTTAGTCCTGGTTTAGTCCTGGTTTTAGACCTGGTTTAGTCCTGGTTTAGTTTTTAGACCTGGTTTAGTCCTGTTTTAGACCTGGTTTAGTCCTGTTTTAGTCCTGGTTCAGTCGAATGAACGAATGATCCACAGATTCTTCTCTTTTACAAAATGCTCCAAATGTTCCATGCTCCACGAGCAGCCGATGTTCTCCTAATATTATGACTTTATTTTGACTACGACTTTATTTTCATAAAATTACGACTTTATTCTCTTAAAAGTACGAATTTATTCTCATAAAATTACGACTTTATTCTCTTAAAATTACGACTTTATTCTCATAAAATTACGACTTTATTCTATTAAAAGTACGAATTTATTCTCATAAAATTACGACTTTATTCTCATAAAATTACGACTTTATTCTCTTAAAAGTACGAATTTATTCTCATAAAATTACGACTTTATTCTCTTAAAATTACGACTTTATTCTCATAAAATTACGACTTTATTCTCATAAAATTACGACTTTATTCTCATAAAATTACGACTTTATTTTGACTACGACTTTATTCTCATAAAATTACGACTTTATTCTCATAATATTACGACTTTATTCTCATAAAATTACGACTTTATTTTGACTACGACTTTATTCTCATAAAATTACGACTTTATTCTCATAAAATTACGACTTTATTCTCATAATATTACGACTTTATTCTCATAATATTACGACTTTATTTTGACTAAGAGTTTATTCTCATAAAATTACGAGTTTATTTTCATAAATTTACGACTTTATTTTGACTACGACTTTATTCTCATAAAATTACGACTTTATTCTCATAAAATTACGAGTTTATTCTCATAAATTTACGAGTTTATTCTCATAAATTTACGACTTTATTTTGACTACGACTTTCTTCTCGTAGCGCCAGCATGTTTTTTTTTTTTTTTTTTTTTTTTTTTTTTAAATATACTCCGTTGTACTCAGGCGCTCAGAGGACACCTGTGTGTTTGGGTCCTTCGTGCGGCGCGCTAACAGCAGGCTAACGAGGCTAACATCGCGCACCGGAGCACCGCAAAAAAACAACAACAAAACAAAAACCCGCAACATTTACATCAAACCCGCAGGATCTTGGGAGAGTTTTGGCCCCGCGCCGCCGTCACCATGAACCTGGAGCTGCTCGGTGAGTCCAGGCCGCGGGGTTTGGTGGGTTTTTGTCGTTAGCAGCGCGAGTTAGCCCCCGATGCTAAAAGCCAAAACAAATAAAACGAAAAATAAATAAAATAAAATAAAAATAAAACGTGACTCAGTTTGGAAAGAATTCGTTTTTTTGGAGCTAAAACCTGAAAAAGATCAAACCTGTAAAAGGAGAGGAGGAAAATGAAGTTTGATGTGATGTTTATGAAACCAGGACTAAACCAGGTCTATTTTAGGACTAAACAAGGTCTAAACTAGGACTATTTTAGGACTAAACCAGGTCTATTTTAGGACTAAACCAGGTCTATTTTAGGACTAAACCAGGTCTATTTTAGGACTAAACAAGGTCTAAACTAGGACTATTTTAGGACTAAACAAGGTCTAAACTAGGACTATTTTAGGACTAAACCAGGTCTATTTTAGGACTAAACCAGGTCTATTTTAGGACTAAACCAGGACTAAACCAGGACTATCCATCCATCCATTTTCGTCCGCTTATCCGGGGCCGGGTCGCGGGGGCAGCAGCCCAAGCAGGGACTCCCAGACTTCCTTCACCCCAGACACGTCCTCCAGCTCCTCCGGGGGGACCCCGAGGCGTTCCCAGGCCAGCCGAGAGACATAGTCCCTCCAGCGTGTCCTGGGTCTTCCCCGGGGCCTCCTCCCGGTGGGACATGCCCAGAACACCTCCTGAGGGAGGCACCCAGGAGGCATCCGGAACAGATGCCCGAGCCTCAACTGGCTCCTCTCAATGTGGAGGAGCAGCGGCTCTACTCCGAGCTCCTCCCGTGTGACTGAGCTCCTCACTCTGTCTCTAAGGGAGCGCCCAGCCACCCTGCGGAGGAAACTCATTTCGAGCGCTTGTATCCGCGATCTCGTCCTTTCGGTCACTACCCAGAGCTCATGACCAGAGGTGAGAGTAGGAACGAAGACTGACCGGTAAATCGAGAGCTTCGCCTTTCGACTCAGCTCCTCTTCACCACAACGACCGATACAGCGACCGCATCACTGCTGAAGCTGCACCGATCCGCCTGTCAATCTCCCGTTCCGTCCTTCCCTCACTCGTGAACAAGACCCCGAGATACTTGAACTCCTCCACTTGAGGCAAAGACTCCCCACCCACCCGGAGAGGGCAAGCCACCTTTTTCCGGTCGAGAACCATGGCCTCAGACTTAGAAGAACTGATCTTCATCCCAGCCGCTTCACACTCGGCTGCAAACCGCCCCAGTGCACATTGCAGGTCCTGGCTCGATGAAGCCAACAGAACAACATCATCCACAAACAGCAGAGATGAGATCCTGTGGTCCCCAAACCGGACCCTCCGGCCCCTGACTGCGCCTAGAAATTCTGTCCATAAATACAATGAACAGAACCGGTGACAAAGGGCAGCCCTGGCGGAGTCCAACATGCACCGGGAACAGGTCTGACTTACTGCCGGCAATGAACACAGCTCCTGCTCCGGTCATACAGGGACCGGACAGCCCTTAGCAAAGGGCCCCGGACCCCATACTCCCAGAGCACCCCCCACAGGACACCACGAGGGACACGGTCGAATGCCTTCTCCAGATCCACAAAACACATGTGGACTGGTTGGGCAAACTCCCATGAACCTCGAGCACCGATGGAGAGTGTAGAGCTGGTCCAGTGTTCCACGGCCAGGACGAAAACCACACTGCTCCTCCTGGATCTGAGGTTCGACTATCGGCCGGATTCTCCTCTCCAGTACCCTGGCATAGACCATAAACCAGGACTAAACCAGGTCTAAACCAGGTCTAAACCAGGACTAAACCAAGTCTATTTTAGGACTAAACCAGGACTAAACCAGGACTAAACCAACAAGAAGAAGAATCAGAACCAAACAAAACTGAGAAGGACATGGGGGAAAAAAAACAAACAAAAGAGACAGAAACGAAGATTTGACACAATTCCACAAATAATTTAATTTCAGTCTGATATTTTTAATTTTAGTTTTTCTTAGATGTTTTTTTTTTTGTTTTTATTTTGGTATTTTGATTTATAATTTTTTTGCTTGATGTTTCGAAAGCCTTTTTTAAAGATTTCGTTAAACGGTTAAAGGACGACCGTTGCACCTCCGCCTGAAAAGTTCCATAATGCTTCTTTAATCTGATAATTTTACTGTTCATGGTACAAAATTTTTATTGATTTATTTTTTAAGATGAAAACGCTGAAGTTTTTATTAAATCGAGCAGTACAGTGATTGTCCTGTGTTTGTTGCAGAGTCGTTCGGGCAGAATTATCCAGAGGTGAGTGTTTGTTTTCATATTTTTATTTTTATCGACATTACGGTGATTTTTGTGATGAAAAAGTCCAGATTTAGTTTGTTCCTTGTGTATCCGTAAATATTTTCCATCCCCAAAAGGACTCGTGTGTGTGTGTGTGTTATTCTGTGTTTGTTTGCGATACCGATACCAATATTTTTGACTTGTTTTTTTAAAACATTTTTACACAGAAATCCAATCGTGTTCTGTAATTTATTTATTCTTCACGTCAAACCAGGTCTAAACCAGGTTTAAACCAGGTCTGAACCAGGTCTAAACGAGGTCTAAACTAGGACAAAATGAGGTCTAAACGAGGTCTAAACGAGGACAAAATGAGGTCTAAACTAGGTCTAAACGAGGAATAAATGAGGTCTAAACTAGGTCTAAACGAGGAATAAATGAGGTCTAAACTAGGTCTAAACGAGGACAAAATGAGGTCTAAATGAGGTCTAAACTAGGACAAAATTAGGTCTAAATGAGGTCTAAACTAGGTCTAAACGAGGACAAAATAAGGTCTAAATTAGGTCTAAAGGAGGACAAAATGAGGTCTAAACTAGGTCTAAACGAGGTAGGTCTAAAATAGGACAAAATGAGGTCTAAACGAGGTCTAAACTAGGACTAAACAAGGTCTAAATGAGGTCTAAACTAGGACAAAATGAGGTCTAAACGAGGTCTAAACCAGGTCTAAACGAGATCTAAACGAGATCTAAACGAGGTCTAAACGAGGTCTAAACTAGCTCTAAACGAGGTCTAAACTAGGAATAAACCAGGACTAAACGAGGTCTAAACCAGGACTGAATCCAAACCCAAACTCAGGACTAAACCAGGTCTAACCCAGGATTAAATGAGGACTGAACCAGGACTGAACCAGGACGGAACCAGGACGGAACCAGGACTAAACCACATTCCCACGTCCCACGTTCTGGGACTAAATGTGTCAAAAATCGGTGGATTTATTTGTAGAAAATCCAAAATGTTCAGTATCGGTATCGGTATCGGTGCGTCTCTGACAGAATCCTGTTATTAAAACCAAAATCACAAATTTAATCACAAAAATCACACTTTGATATTTTCCCCAAATCACTCAGACTTTGTGTGTTCAGTCTTGGTGTGTGTTGAGTTGTGTGTTTGCGTGTTGAGTTGTGTGTTTGCGTGTTGAGTTGTGTGTTTGCGTGTTGAGTTGTGTGTTTGTGTTGAGTTGTGTGTTTGCGTGTTGAGTTGTGTGTTTGCGTGTTGAGTTGTGTGTTGTGTTGTGTTGTGTTGTTTTGTGTTTGAGTTGTGTGTTTGCGTGTTGAGTGTGTGTGTGTTGAGTTGTGTGTTTGCGTGTTGAGTTGTGTGTTTGCGTGTTGAGTTGTGCGTTTTTGCGTGTTGAGTTGTGCGTTTGCGTTGAGTTGTGCGTTTTAGTGTGTTTGCGTTTGCGTGTAGAGTGTGTGTTTGTGCGTTGTGTGTTTGCGTGTTGACGTTGTGCGTTTGTGTGTTGAGTGTGTGTTGCGTGTTGAGTTGTGTGTTTACGTGTTGAGTTGTGTGTTTGCGTGTTGAGTTGTGTGTTTGCGTGTTGAGTTGTGTGTTTGCGTGTTGAGTTGTGTGTTTGCGTGTTGAGTTGTGCGTTTGCGTGTTGATGTTGTTGTGCGTTTGCGTGTTTGAGTTGTGTGTTAGTGTGTTTGAGTTGTGCTGTTTAGTGTTGAGTTGTGTGTTTGTGTGTTGAGTTGTGTGTTTGTGCGTTGAGTTGTGTGTTTGCGTGTTGAGTTGTGTGTTAGTGTGTTGAGTTGTGTGTTTGCGTGTTGAGTTGTGTGTTTGCGTGTTGAGTTGTGTGTTAGTGTGTTGAGTTGTGTGTTTGCGTGTTGAGTTGTGCGTTTGCGTGTAGAGTTGTGCGTTTGCGTGTAGAGTTGTGCGTTTGCGTGTAGAGTTGTGCGTTTGCGTGTAGAGTTGTGCGTTTGCGTGTTGAGTTGTGCGTTTGCGTGTTGAGTTGTGTGTTTGCGTGTTGAGTTGTGTGTTTGTGTGTTGAGTTGTGCGTTTGTGCGTTGAGTTGTGCGTTTGTGCGTTGAGTTGTGTGTTTGCGTTGAGTTGTGTGTTTGTGCGTTGAGTTGTGTGTTTGTGCGTTGAGTTGTGTGTTTGCGTGCCCACAGGAAGCGGACGGCGCTCTGGACTGTTGTGTGTGTTGTTGTTTGCGTTTGTGTGTTGTGTTTGTGTGTGTGTGTCGTTGTGTGTGTTCGTTGTGTGTGTTTGTTGTGTGTTCAGTTGTGCGTTCGTGCGTTGAGTTGTGCGTTTGCGTGCCCACAGGAAGCGGATGGCACTCTGGACTGCATCAGCATGGCGCTCACCTGCACGTTTAACCGCTGGGGCACCCTGCTGGCCGTGGGCTGTAACGACGGGCGCATCGTCATCTGGGATTTCCTCACCCGCGGCATCGCCAAGATCATCAGCGCCCACATCCACCCGGTCTGCTCCCTGTGGTACGCCCTGTGGTGCCCTCCCGCGCCCGATGCCCTCCCGCGCCCGCCCCTGTGTGTCTGATGCCCGCCCCTGTGTGTCTGATGCCCGCTCCCGTGTGTCTGATGCCCTCCTTGTGTGTCTGATGCCCGCTCCCGTGTGTCTGATGCCCGCTCCCGTGTGTCTGATGCCCACTCCCGTGTGTCTGATGCCCGTTCCCGTGTGTCTGGTGCCCGCTCCTGTGTGTCTGATGCCCGCTCCCGTGTGTCTGTGCCGCCGCCCGTGTGTGATGCCCTCCTTGTGTGTCTGGTGTCTGATGCCCGCTCCTGTGTGTCTGATGCCCTCCTTGTGTGTCTGATGCCCGCTCCCGTGTGTCTGCCCACTCCCGTGTGTCTGATGCCCGCTCCCGTGTGTCTGATGCCCTCTTGTGTGTGTCTGATGCCCCCCTGTGTGTCTGATGCCCGCTCCTGTGTGTCTGATGCCCTCCTTGTGTGTCTGGTGCCCGCTCCTGTGTATCTGATGCCCTCCTTGTGTGTCTGATGCCCGCTCCTGTGTGTCTGATGCCCTCCTTGTGTGTCTGGTGCCCGCTCCTGTGTGTCTGGTGCCCGCTCCTGTGTGTCTGATGCCCTCCTTGTGTGTCTGGTGCCCGCTCCTGTGTATCTGATGCCCCTCCTTGTGTGTCTGATGCCCGCTTGTGTCTGATGCCTCCTTGTGTGTCTGATGCCCGCTCCTGTGTGTCTGATGCCCGCTCCTGTGTGTCTGATGCCCGCTCCTGTGTGTCTGATGCCCGCTCCTGTGTGTCTGGTGCCCCTGTGTGTCCTGGTGCCCCTCCTTGTGTGTCTGATGCCCTCCTTGTGTGTCTGATGCCGCTCCTGTGTGTCTGATGCCCGCTCCTGTGTGTCTGATGCCCGTCCTTGTGTCTGATGCCCGCTCCTGTGTGTCCTGTGTGTCTGATCCCGCTCCTGTGTGTCTGATGCCCGCTCCTGTGTGTCTGATGCCCGCTCCTGTGTGTCTGATGCCCTCCCGCGCCCACCCCTGTGTGTCTGATGCCCGCTCCTGTGTGTCTGATGCCTCCTTGTGTGTCTGGTGGCCCCTCCTGTGTGTCTGGTGCCCGCTCCCGTGTGTCTGGTGCCCGCTCCCGTGTGTCTGATGCCCTCCTTGTGTGTCTGGTGCCCGCTCCCGTGTGTCTGATGCCCCGCTCCTGTGTGTCTGGTGCCCTCCTTGTGTGTCTGATGCCCTCCTTGGTGTGTCTGATGCCCTCCTGTGTGTCTGGTGCCCGCTCCCGTGTGTCTGGTGCCCGCTCCGTGTATCTGATGCCCACTCCCTGTGTCTGATGCCCGCCCCTGTGTGTCTGATGCCCTCCTGTGCCCACACCTGTGCCGCTCCCGTGTGTCTGATGCCCCTCTCCGTGTGTCGCTCCCGTGTGTCTGATGCCGCTCCTGTGTGTCTGATGCCCCGCTCCTGTGTGTCTGAATGCCCTCCTTGTGTGTCTGATGCCCTCCTTGTGTGTCTGATGCCCGCTCCCGTGTGTCTGATGCCCGCTCCCGTCTGTCTGTTGCCCGCTCCTGTGTGTCTGATGCCCTCCTTGTGTGTCTGGTGCCCGCTCCTGTGTGTCTGATGCCCGCTCCTGTGTGTCTGATGCCCGCTCTGTGTGTCTGATGCCCGCTCCTGTGTGTCTGGTGCCCGCTCCTGTGTGTCTGATGCCCGCTCCCCGTGTGTCTGGTGCCCGCTCCCGTGTGTCTGGTGCCCTCCCTGTGTGTCTGATGCCCGCTCCTGTGTGTCTGATGCCCTCCTTGTGTGTCTGGTGCCCGCTCCCGTGTGTCTGGTGCCCTCCCCGTGCCTCAGATTACCTCAGAGTACCTCAGATGCCCTCCTCCGTGTGTCTGTGGCAGCTGGAGCAGAGACGGGCACAAGCTGGTGAGCGCCTCCACCGACAACATCGTGTCTCAGTGGGACGTCCTGACCGGAGACTGTGACCAGAGGTTCCGCTTCCCCTCGCCCATCCTCAAGCTGCAGTGCCACCCCCGAGACATGTGAGTACCCCAAAGTAACACCCCCGAGACATGTGAGTACCCCAGAGTAACACCCCCGAGACATGTAGAGTAACACCCCGAGACGAGTACCGAGACATGTGAGTGAGTACCCCAAAGTACTGACACCCCCGAGACATGTGACATGTGAGTACCCCAGAGTAACACCCCCGAGACATGTGAGTACCCCAGAGTGCCACCCCCGAGACATGTGAGTACCCCAACTGACACCCCCGAGACATGTGAGTACCCCAGAGTAACACCCCCGAGACATGTGAGTACCCCAGAGTACCACCCCCGAGACATGTGAGTACCCCAGAGTAACACCCCCGAGACATGTGAGTACCCAGAGTACACCCCGAGACATGTGAGTACCCCAACTGACACCCCGAGACATGTGAGTACCAACCACCAGACATGAGTAACCCCCCCGAGACATGTGAGTACCCAAAGTAACACCCCTGAGACATGTGACATGTGAGTACCCCAAAGTAACACCCCTGAGAATGTGAGTACCCCAAAGTAACACCCCCGAGACATGTGAGTACCCCAAAGTAACACCCCGAGACATGTGAGTACCCAATAACACCCCCGAGACATGTGAGTACCCCAGAGTGCCACCCC